GGAAGCGCGATCCTCCTAGGTTCTAGCGACTGTGGCTCTGGGGCCTTCGGAGGACTCGGAGGAAGCAAATCTGCATCCCCGGTTCGGAAGGTTCGTACTCTTGAAGATCCGGATCATCCTCAGGAGCAAGAGGAGGAGGAGCCGGTTCCTCGGGTGCCTTTCCCTGTGGAAAGCTTCCCTTGGCTCGAATCCTTCTCTTTGCCGGTGCCTTTCCCTGCGGAAAGCTTCCGGATGCTCCTGTGTTCTTCGAGCTGTCTTCAGGCTTACCTGCGCTAACCATGTCCTCTGGAGATCCTACCTTTCCACGGGTTGGATCCTTGGACTTGGCTGGCACCGAGGTTCTACTCTCGATGCCACCAGGCAGAATCTTGAAAATGGTCTTGCCTTTCCAAGAGTCAGTAGTTCTTGTTGAAGAAAGCTCAGAAGAACGCCAGTCATCTTCTTGAGTAACGCTCTTTCCCTTGGAGAACTCCATGATCGTCTTGCGCTTGGTGTCCAGATACTCCAACGGAATTGGCACATAACCCGCCTTGGGTTCGTACTTGACTCTTCTCATCTTCTTGTGGATGCGAATCATTTCCATGTCGGCTTCGTTGATCACCCATTCATCATCAGTCGCCAACACGAGATTGTCAGGTACCTGTTCATGAGAACAGCATCCCTCGGTCTTCTGATGGAAGCCGTACTCGTAGTGGGAGAAGTAGGTGAGGAAGCTCGACTTCTTATGCTTGCTGAAACGCACATTCCACATCAGCTGACTGAGTTCAAGAAGATCAAGTACCAAGTGTGAGCTGGGTGCAACCTTCAGCCTCACATCCTTGATTCCCAGCACAGGGCTGCTGAGTAAGGCCTTTTCCGGATGGAGCTCGAACTGGAAACGAAGATTGCGCATCTGAGGTAAGGACATGAGAATGGGAACATGCCCTTGTTCCACAATGTCGAACTCTGTGGATTGAACTGCAAAGTCCCGGTCGTACATGCAAATGACCAACTTCTGGTTGCATTTGGTAGACTCGGAATTGGCAAAGGTGAACTGAGAAGTGGTCTCAGCAATGGTGTACCATATGCCACAGTTCTGGTTCTTGTCACAGAACTCCATGAGGTCCTGTGCGGCCACTCTCGAAGCCATTGCTCTCGTGCATCCCAGGTCCAACACCATCGCGGTCGGCGTCAAGGGCTGAGAGATGAAGGCTTCCTCGATCTCATTGATCTTCTCTTCGGTGGCCATGAAAGAAAAGTTCGGAGTGTTGAGATGTTCAACGAAGAAGGTTGTGGCGGCTGTGGTGCCGCTCGGGGCAGCATCAGCAAGCTGGCTCTGTCCGTCTTTTCCGGACTTTCCATCTTTTCCATCCTTGCCAAACTTGCTCTTTCCTTTGCCCTTCTTTCCTTTCTTTCCTTTTCCTTTGGCTGCATAGGATTCCTCAGACTCGTACCAGGACCAGTCATCCCAGGACTGATCGCTCCACTGGTAATCTTGCCATTGTCCTTCTGCTTGCCATGCTTCTGATTCTTCGGCAAGATGTGACCTGCCTTTCTTCCTTTTGAAGAAGCGCCTTCCTTTGGATCCTTTGCCACCTTTTCCTTTGCCTTTACGGTGGCCCTTGAATCCGCGCCTCATCTTGCGGCCTTGGAAGCGCCGCTGGAACCATGAATAGTTCTCGTCGTCGTAGACCCAGAAGGCGTCCTCATCCGCTTCGAGGAAACCTTCGGTGCCATCTTCCTCGTCCTCGACCCAGTAGCCTTCATGATCGTTCAAATATCCTTCATCGATCACAAGGAAGGTCTTGCGGCCACCGTGGCCGGAAGGAGCGAGGAGTGGATTGTCGACGGTAGTCTTGGTCGTACAGAAGATCTCCAGGTAGACTTCGCGAAGCTCGGCCGTGTTGTAGTCAGCCAGGACTCGGTTCCGATGCGCCATCAGTGATGTCAACACCTGACGCTGATCCTGTGTCAGATCAGACAGGGACACAAAGATCAAAGCGACCAGGTTGGGCGTGATCGGAATGGTCCGAGCATGCTGCTCTCTGAGCCGTTCGTTGGCTCTCTCCATTGCCTGAGCTGGCGTAAGGTTTTCTTGTTCTTCTGGAGGAAGTCCTACTATGAAAGCTCTGACCTCTGCATTGTTCGGGTCCTCGATCGGCAGATAGGTATCGTTCCACGCTTCTTGCATTCTCTGAACAGAGAGTTGAAACCTGGTAATCCAACGAAGCATGTCTCCGTTCCCACGGTGCATGTTCATGAACTGCTGGAAGCGATAGAGAAAAACATTCGCTGCTCCCTTCACGAAAAGCGGCCGCAGGAAACTCTTGAAGTACTTCACTCCGTTGTTCGGGTCCTTCAGGCGATCTCTGTCGAGAAGTCTCTTGTGGATTGCTGCTTCACCTTCTAGCCGATTTCTCAAAGCTGGTCCACGCTTATCATTGTCTAGCTCAGTAATGTCACACCAGTCATCGATCGCATCTTCATAGGCAAACCAACTGCTTCTGCCATCATAAGATGGAGGTACTTTGGTGGTCACCTGCTGGAAAGCTGAAAGACGGTGTAATTCATTGAGATGACGATGATTAGTCGCGAAAGATTCATTTCCGTGGAGGAGGTAGTCATCATCTCCTCCTTCATGCTCAAAGATAGTCGCAGAGTGGCTAGCCATTGCGCTGTTCTTGGATCGAGCCCCGGGAGAAACCTCTTCCGGTTATCTTCACCTGAGTGAAGTGTGCCGGAGAGACTCCGGTCACCTTCACCTGAGTGAAGCACACCGGGTATTCCGGTTGCCTCCACCTGTGTAGAGAGTACCGAACGGGTACCTCCACAAGTGTGAAGCTTCCCGTTTCCCGGGAGCTCCGCTACCACGTTGAGATGTAACCTGGACGTGTATCCCCTCGCTAGGCGTACAGGAACACAGGCACTCAGGTGTCTCTTTTGCTACAGGCGCACAGCTGTAGTCCACTGCACTAGAACCTTGAGCAACAGGCATGGATACATGCAAGTGATACGTGAAACAGACAGGCACCTGGATGTGTAACATTCAGTGTTTCAGGCACCTGGATGTTAATCACCCCCCCCCCCCCCCCCCCCCCCCCCCCCCCCCTCCCCCTCATCACCGCGCCACAGACTCCAACCAAGAAGTTCACAAACCTCACCTCACCGCAAATCTTGCACACTGACACACTGATACGTTCACTGGACTTTTTCCACGTATCGGCTCGTGTGGCTTAGACCAAGACCTTGTTTGATTGGGAAACTATGAGATCACCGGTATTTACGGTGTTTCTGCGTATGGGGAACACAATGTTATGTTGTAGGTTGTTTATAAACACCTGGCCTTGTTTATAAACAAAAGAGTTGTCCATAAACACAGGGTTTGCTTGTGTGGAATATTGTGCATATATATATATATATGTATGCCTGTCTTCACGTGTAAACACAAGTGCTGTTGCTACATAGCTCAGAGGTCCAATCTTTGCCACCTTTATAACCTTAGAGGACCAGAGGGATATGAAGGGTTGATTGTATATCGAACCAGAAAATTCATGACACCGATACTTGTGGATTTGGAGGCCATGCAAGATCATGCAACGGCCTGGACCACAGTAGAACTTTTTCATTCCCCGAGCGAGGCTTCAGCGGCAGCGGCTCATAAAACCAGATGTCCGGATTCAGAATTCATACTGATCCAGATGCTCGCTATTTTGGATTGTAGACTGTGGATACCCAAAGCGAGGTACCTATAGCAGCCAGCAGGACATGAACATGCGCAAACAGGGTTCGAGTCATCTTCGACAAGTACCAGACTTGTCAACCACAGGCAGCTTTTCATCATTCCTTGGCCCTTGGCTCCCTGGTAGTCACACATGCTAATGCATACATTGAACTCACTCATATTTGTTGACATGCAAAAACACATTTCAAGCACTGACCTGAACACTTAATTCGATTCCTGTGCACTTTGCCCGATAAGCACAAGAATTCAATGCGTACCAGTTCTCCAACAACCGAACACTGCATGCCAAAGCTGATGATGCGTTGGTTCAGGTGCTGGGTGGAGTGGCTTGATCGGATGATGAGTCTTGCACGGATAATAAAGGCATGCCGCTACGTGTCCAACATGTCGAGTCTATGTGGCCTATCCCAAGACTTGGTTTGATGAAGTGCAGAATACACGGTATTTACGGTGTTTCCTGCCTGCGACAGTTGTTGTGGGAAAACTTTGAATACTAGCCAATCAATGCCGCGCTGTCGAACCCGTTGACGTCTGACAATACAATTCTACATGTACACAGGCTAAACCTGACCTTGAATACATTAAACACAGGAATAGAAGACGGGCCTTTGTGGTGCAATGCTGCGTGTACCCTTTAAGTGCTTGAAGTTGTTAGAATGTACATATGATACAAAAGGTGGGTCTACAAAAACCCAGGCCCCACAGCAACCTGCTCTCTCTCTCTCTCTATATATATATATATACACATGAGTTATTCATGTACATGTAAGATCGTATTTGCATTTCACTTTTAATTAGCACGCACACACGTTTATGCATTGAACAATGACTATCTCTCTGATGCGCACACGCACACACACACACACACGCACACACACGCACACAACACACACACAACACACACAAACACAAACACACACACACACACACAACACACACAACACACACACAACACACACACACACACAACACACACACACAACACACAGAACACACACAACACACACACAACACACACACACAACACACACAACACACAGAACACACACAATACACACAACACACACACACAACACAAACAGCACGCACATACACACAACACACACATGCACACACGCACGCACACACAAAAAAGACACACTGACAGCGGGGCCGCGGTCTGTGCTGTTTGTTGATCTTAACTTATCTTTGTCCTTGGTACTACAACACTGGAAGAGACCATTCAGTCCCAGCCAGGTCGTGAGGCTTTGGCAGCATGTAGTAGCGCTGTGCTGCGCAGGTTTTCCAGCACTGCAGCACCATCGAAGAAGTTTCTTCGGGACGATGCGGAAAATGCGCAGCAATCCCGGTCATGCGACAGTGTGCAAGGATGTTGCTGCCTGTTTCATCTAGTTACTAGTCGATAAAGTAGCGCTGCCGGTCCACAGCGAAGATCATGTTTAAGCCAGGCTGCAGGACCATGTTAAAGAATACCTTTTCCAGGCAGGGGCGAAGGAAGGTTTTGGGATTGTCTTCACGTTCTATACTCCAGATTTCGTAGCTGTGCCAACAAGTTGTAAAAGCTTGTTGAACCGGGCCGTCGAGGTGAGATTTCGCGTTGAGGGAGCAGAGACCAGTTCTACTTGCCTCCCTGATTACGATAGATTAGAGCCAACCTAGAGTCGAAGATACCGTGTCCTTTGGCGAAAGCGTCTGGGACAAATATCTCCAGGCGGAAAGCTATGCCTTGTCTAGGTCAACGATTTCGCGCCAATTCTGCCACCCTAAACCCTGAACCCCCTCAAATGTCTATATAGGCGGAAAAAGGCATTGAAACAAAAAAGCCTTCAAAACCCTACACTAAAAGCCCTTGCCAAACCCTAAGCCCAGGCCGTGGCCAACCGCCAAGCTCTTCCGATGCACTGGGCCCATTATGTGGAGGCGCCTCTCAAGCGACATGCCCTTGTCCGTAAAACGTAAACGACTACTACGGCCACGATTACCATGGGGGCTCTAGAGGGGTTGCAATAAGGGGCTACTATAGGTGATCCATACGGCTTGCTAGAGGGGTTACTGCTTAGGTGTGAAGAAGGATTCTTGGGAGGTTGTATGCCTCAATGTCTGGGCTCTGTGGAGGCACCAGCCCGGGACTCACCACCCTTTTCTCATGTAGATGACCACACACCTCAGCACCTAGACTTTGTATCTTTCCAACATCGCATTGCTGATATGGTGCTGGGGGCGGCACCTTAGTCGTGTAAGAAGCTTGCGAGCCTCATGGTTTTGATGCATGCTCAGCGTTACAAAGACCACTGCCTCATCATCGTAGGCAGTGGAGGCCCAGATGATGAGGTTCTTGCTCGGAGACGATTGTCGGCTGGAGGTCGACTCATGCACATTCAAACTCGTGGTCTCGATGATGACCGCGTCAGTGTCTTGGCCTTTGAAGAGCTTGACAGCTGTTTCTTCTGGCAGCCGCCTCAGATACGGACCTCGAAGTTTGGAAAGAACCTGGGCCCATCTTTCCGCACGTATTGGAGCAAAACCGGCCCGGACGCAGTAGAACTGCTGGACGGCCAGAGGTTGCAGATTTACATGGTTGAAGGCCAGATGCGACATCTACGAATTCTGGAGGCCAACGACAACATTGCGGCGGAGGTTTCGGGGTATATTGTCCGGAATCCCGATGCGGAGCTTGCACGTGACTTGAGTGTCGACGTCGCCAATCAAGATCTCAAGGCCTGTGGGACCTTCTCGTTTCGGTACATGGTGCTATCGACGCTGATACTGCTGGCTTGGCACGTGACCCGGTGGATCATCAGTATTCATTATGAGCAGCAAGCACACCCGGGACAGCTGCCGTGGTGGCGGGGGGCATTGGTTACGGTCAATGGTGTCGTTTTCTGCACATGGGGATTGTTCGAAACGTGGTCTGCCAGTCTGGCTGGGGAGCGGCCAACATTCCTGACAAATACTGTGGGACTTCTTCTATGCGGTGGTTTCGCCATTGTGGGAACTTTCGCGCAGATTGCAGACTACCCACTGTCTTTGATGGGGCTCACGGGCCTTTTCCTGGGTGGCCCCACACTGTTGTACTACCTAACTCGAGCAAAGCATCATGAACGGGAGCTCTTCCCTTGCGCGATGTGGACTTTCGCTCAGCTGATGGGAACGGTTGGCTGCTCAATACTCCTCTCCTGCATCGTTGTCCTCTACGGCTTGCTGCTGGAAGACCAGGCACAGCTTGAACTCGCGCTGCCCTTTCGCCCATCTGCGGCCTAGAAGACTTCACCCTCCCAAATTGTAAGCATGCATCGTAAAGTCCTTTACTTCGAAGTAGCCACGTGCAGGTTTTGGTAGCCACCGTTCTTTTGCCCCTGGCCACTGCAGCGGTAGAGGCAGGCACCGTGCCCAGACGGTTCAGAATCTTACTTGCTCGCCTGTTCGGAACTCTTAGTTGATTGCATGTCATTAGCACGTTGGCATACTACAGAAGCTGACTAAGCTCAGGTCATGGGTTGCAAGCTGGCATACAAGCGGCTGGTGGTTTCAAGACGTCCAGCAGTACCTGGTGACACTTCCTACATAGCCTTGCCGTACATGTTGATCGCGGCGCACTCCTTCTGCGAATCAGCGCGATTGGTGGCTTCCTTTTCAGGGGCGGTGACATTTGGTAGCTTTTCTTGGATTGGATCTGCTCTTCTGACGCTCACTTTGAACATCCTCGTTCGCCTGGGATGGACCCGATACCTTCTCTTCCAGTTCCTCAGAAGATTGAGCCCCGGCCTGGGCGCTCTTGCTGTGCCAAGCGGATGGACGAAGCTGCATGATGATGTCAAGATCTATGCTGGCTACTTCCGGTTCATCACCGTAGCGTCCTTGGTATGTGCTAGAGCCATCTACTATGGTGATTTGTCCTTCGATGGGCCGAAGGCTCCAGCCTTCAACGTCTCGGCAGGGTGCTCATTTGTGGTCCTCCTAGCGCTTGAGATTCTGGAGGACAAGGTCGTGATCGGAGAGTTCCTGCCGATGAGTCCCATTCCTGCCGAGATGCTAGACGTGAGGACGACTCGTCGGATGAATTCTGATTTTGGGAGGCTGCACGGTCTTGTAAGGTCTGAGCAAGCGGCTGGAAGTAAGCTCGAACCGTACTGCACGAGTAAGAGTAAGAGCCAGGGCAAGGGAACGCGAGACTTGTCATGCTTGGGGGATCCCGACGAAACTTGCCAGTGTTACTTGGTAGTATTATCGAAGCCCTTTACTAAGTACCAGGATCCTCGATTATTGGGGGATCCCACGCTTATCTCACTCTAGGACCGTAGTGTCGTGTAAGTGTACGAGCAGAAGCGCGCCCCAAAACTCCTGAACCGCTAGGATTCAGAGTTTCGGGGTTTAGGTTGCAGGGTTTAGGGGTTTCGAGTCTCAGGATAGACGGTATCAGAGTGTAACGGTGTAGGATTTCCGGGATCAGGGTTCGTATTATGCAGGCTTGTCAGCATCGAGCGCCGGCCGAACTACAAAGATCAGACAGAGAGCGTCTGGCGCTTGGGGGAGCTGAACGAACAGGGGGAGCGACGAGGCTCTGTATCTGGGTTCTTGTTCAAGAATCTGATCAAAGTTACCATGGTAGGGATCTAGAAGGGGTCCTTTAAGGAATCTATAATAAGGGTTCCTTTAAGGCCTCTAGGTTTAAGGTTTAAGTTACCATGATAGGGATCCATAGTACATAATGTGGTTTATTTACTATGGTAACTTGGATGAAATTCCTTAACAAGAACCCAGGTATCTGTGGTTCCAGGCAAACCTGTCGAACTTCTCGACCAGTGCCATTCACTCGGAACAAGGCGGTCCTCAGTGCGCTCAAAGTTCCGGCGATGGCTGGGACAAGAGAGAACGGTGATCCCCGCCCTTACTCTTCATGGCCTTCGAGAAATGCCTTTCCTCGCTCAGCTCTCCGCGACGGGGATCTGTTGCGAAGTGGCCATGGCATACATGAATGCAACCTTCAGCCCAGGGTTCCTGCGAGGGAAGTGCGAGACCATTCCTGACTTCCAGGAGCTTGTGATGCTTTGGTGGCCGGTCCCAATGCAGTGCTGATGCAGCAAAGAAGGGAAGACCAATAGTCAATTAACCGTTAGAGTTTACCGAACTCACCATCAAGAACTCTCTTGAGCGGTTCTTGATACCAGTAGCACATGAACTTATTCTCCAGTCGCACTGCTGTGCCTTGACACGACGCGCAACAAGCGTTGTAGTGTTTGAATATGTGCAGCAGAGCTACAGTAGCTTTGAACACTTCCATGGTTTGTTGGGAGTGCCTTTGATTTTTCAACGCCTCGCCAAAGGCTGAGGCAGCACATGCTTCTTGTTGTCCAGGCCATGACTTTTGTGGGATGGTCCGAGCCACACGGGCTTCCCCGCCGAGTGCCAGAAAAGGTCTTGCCTGTTTTGCACTGCGAGTGTCAGTCCACTGCAGGGATGAAGCTTACCTGGATGGCTCCGCTAAGCCCATTTTTTGAAGGAAGACTCACGCATATCTCAGCTGAAAACCCAACCTGACATGCAACACAGGCACGACCAGCATGAAGTGCATACATCTTGCTCTACCGCAGTGAACTGTATGCCAATACGCATCCCTATCTGGGATCGATGGTCGAATGTGAAGTGTATTGCGGGGAGCAATCTAGCGCTTCCCCCGGAACGATGCACTCAAAATCTTAGGCCCAAATCCTTGAACCCTGGCACTTGAGTAGATAGCACTGGAAGCTTGGAGTAACAGACCTCAAACCTTATGGCACTATATCCAGGACCCACAACCCAGACCCCACAACCCAGACCCTAAACTCTTAAACCACAAGCCACAAACATCCCGAAGAGAGGCCGGAATGGTGTCTTCCCCATCGTCATTGCCCAGGTAGATGGGAGGCGCTTTGGTGGCCAGACGGGATATAGAAATGGGTGAAGAGTCTCTGCACGCAAACGGGTCGAGACCCGTTCGCTGTGTTCTGTGACCAGGAGCCTCGGTCGATCGTTGATCTTGGAGCTCAGAACACGAACGCTCCCTGCAAAGCCCTCGAAAATCGCTTCTCTTCACAGCCACATCCGAATCAAGCCCGAAGGTCATCCTGAATGCAAGTCTAGCATTGTAGCTTCGTCTAGCGTTGGCAGTGAGCAGCCAGCACAACCCTACACATCTCAGCGACGGCCCTGCGCTGTCTACACCCTGGAAGACTTCAACCTTCCAAACCCAAAGCCTTAAACTTAAACCCTAAGCCCCAAACCTGGCTGCTCGTTAAGTAATTTTAGGTTAAGTTTCCATGATTGGGGTCGGTAGTGAAAATTACAGGGTCCTCTGTAGTTTAATTAGAAAATGAACTTCCTCAACAAGAGCCAAGACGCCCCAGACACCAAGAGCCCTGGAAGGACGGCACTTCTGCAGGGGGCATCATTTCCTGGGCCGTGGAGCCTACATCTTTGAGCCTGCAGGAGGGCTTCGAGGCCATCTCCACTTAAAGGGGTTTAGGGTTTAAGGGTTTAGGGTTTAGGGTTCAGGGTTCAGGGTTTAGGGTTTAGGGTTTAGGGTTCAGGGTTTAGGGTTTAGGGGTTAGAGGTGTTAGAGGCTCATGGGGCTGAGGAAATATACCTGTACACACACATGCGCCAAGCCTCCAAGGATGCATCTGTACACACACGTGCGCGGCCGTGCATGTAAACATCATATGAGAAGATGTAGACTTCTTCATGAAGACCTGTATAACACCAAGCAGGTAAGCACACGCTCACATGATGTGACTCGTGATCGAATCTATTCATCTACCTATCTGTCTATTTATCTGTCGTCCTGTCCGTCTGTCCGTCCGTTAGTCCGTGAGTCCGGCTGTCTATCTATCTATCTATCTATCTCGTGTACGTAGATTGAGGGTAGGTATGTGTGTAGAGTGTTGAACACTCAGCTGAGGGCACAGTGTAGGTCTGGGCTCTAGAGTCGCGCTTGGGGCTGAGGGGCTGAGCGGTCACTTGTGCAAAGATTTGCCCGTTCGCTTGTGCAAAGGCGTGCCCGTTCGCTTGTACGCGCGGAGGTGCGTTTTGTGTTGGCAGGGCCAATGAATTCGGACTTCGTTACTTGTAACTTCGCGATGTTGGGGAGGTCTGAAAGTGCACGAAACGTCGGCAGGGCCATGGTTTCCGGCTCTGGGCGTGCATGCTGGAAATCGCGCTTTTTGGTTCCGAAGTTGTTAAAGTGCTGGCAGGGCCACAGGATTCGGCTTCCCCGCGTCGGTCTTTAGCCCCTGTTTTCAAGCATTTGAACCCCCCTGGGACCAACCAGAACGTACTGCTGCCAACGCGACTTCTCTTGCTCCACGCGCCAAACACGGACGTTCTTAGCCCCCCACCCCACCCCCCCACCCACCCCCCCAAGAACGAGCCTCCGAGAGTGCGTTTTCCGTGGGAGCGTCAAACACGGACGTTCTCAGCATGCTGGGGCCAACGAGAATTCTTTTGCTGCACGCGACAAAAACACGGACGTTATCAGCCCCCCACCCCACCCGCCCCCCCTGGAACTAACATGAAAAAAATGGTTCTAAGTCCCCCACGTCAAACACGTCGAACACGGACTTTATTAGCCCCCCCCCTGGAACCGACAAGAACGTGCTGCTGCCAGCGACACTGCTCTTTCTGCACGCGTCCAACACGAACGGTAGTGCTGGTGCCAACGCAACTTCTCTTGCTGCATGCGCCAATTACCAACGCTCTTAGCCTTGCATTGCATGTCCCCACCCACCCGCCCGCCCATGGGACCAACCAGAACGTACTGCTGCCAACGCGACTTCTCTTACTCCACGCACCAAACACGGACGTTCTTAGCGCCCAACCCCACCCCCCCACCCCCCCCCCGAGAACCAATTTCCGTGGAAGCACTGAAACCAAACCTGACGTTCTTGGCCCCGACCCCCCCCCCACCCCACCCCAGCCAGGAAGCCAGCCCCAACTCCACCCCTCCACCCCGCCCCGCCAGCCCCACGACCAACCAAAACGTGCTTTTCGAGCCACTGAGCGCTCTTGCTGCACGCGTCAAACACAGACGTTAGCCCCCACCCCACCCCCCACCCCCCCACCCGCCCCCCCAGGACCAACCAGAACGTGCGTCTCGAGCCTCCAAGATTGCGTTTTCCAGGGTTCCAATGAGCTGCACGCGTCAAACACGGACGTTATCAGCCCCACCCCCCCCACCCCACCCCCCCAGCCCCACCCCTTCCAGGATCGACCAGAACGTGTTTTTTATTTTTATAAAAGTGCGTTTTCAATGGTTCCACTGAGTGTGCCCTTGCTGCACGCGTCAAACACGGACGTTATTAGCCCCGACCCCACCCCCCCACCCCACCCCACCACCCCCGCAGGACCGACCAAAACGTGCTTTTCGAGCCTCCAAAAGTGCGTTTTCAACGGTTCCACTGGGAGTGCCCTTGTTGCACGCGTCAAACACGGACGTTATCGGCCCCCGAAGCATGCTCTGAAAACGCTTCTCCGGAAACCAACGAAAACATTCTTTTCGAGACTCCAAAAGTGCATTTTCGATGGTCTGTCAGATGTTTCCTAATACAGCTCAAAACGCACTTTTCGGCCAGCACTTGCCAACTGGGCAAGTGCACTTTCCTATGGTTTTACAATGGATTCGGCACTTTCGCGCGCAAATGTCGTCAATTTCGGCTAACTTGCGAAGTGGACTTTCCTATGGTTTTTACAATGGATTCGACACTTTTCCAAGCTTGTTGAAGCCATTTCCGAAAAAGACCGAAGTGCACGTTCCTATGGTTTTTACAATGGATTCGACACCCGTCTTTGCGCAAGCGACTGGGCAAATCTTTGCGCAAGCGACGCGAATTTCTTTGCGTAAGCGACGGTGCTGCCGGGCTGAGGTCTAGTTGATGATCTTGATGATTAGGATATGGGTTGGTCCTACAAGGCCCGCACATGAACTCTGAGCGCCCTCGTTTGCACCTCCCCAACCCAAAATCCCCAAGTCCTACCCAAACCCTGAGCCCTAAAACCCCTATATAAATCCCTTCGACCCTTACCCCCAAAACCCCAACACCCTCTGAGCCCCCAGCCCCCTTAACCCTGAATATGTGAGGTGTGCTTCCGAGACGAGCCGGGGCCCACAAGCGCTGATGATGAGGACGAACTGGCCAGTGCAGGGCGAAACGGGGTAGGATTTAGGGCTTGCAGGGTTTGCAGCAGGGTTTAGGGTCAGGTTTTGGGGCTTACAGAGTTTAAGGGTTCGCAGGCATGGGTTTGGGGGTAATTTGTATTCTAGGGCTTGCATTTTAGGGCTTGGGGTTTAGAAGGTTTAGTTTACTGGTGATTGGCGCTTCCACAGTGGGAACTGGAATGGACTCATCATCATGGCTCCGATTGCCTCCCAGGTTGTTGTTAAGCAGACTCAATTAGCATTAGTAATTAGTACTTGCATTTTCGATACTATTATCTTTATGGTAGTATTTGTATTCGTGCTGTTTTCATTATATTATTATTAGTAGTAGTTGTAGTGGCGGTAGTGGTGGTAGTAGTCGTAGTAGCAGTAGTAGTAGTCGTCGTCGTCGTCGTAGCAGAAGTAGCAGCAGTGGTATGTTTATTGTCGTTGTTATTTCTCTGAGCACAGTAAGATATGCATGACGAGCTCCAGGTCAAGTCTGAGACCTCAACTTCTCCAGTCGCACCCCACAGTCACTGACATGCACACTTGGAGCGGAGGACCTTCCCGATCGCACGGATTCAGACTTCGTGCCCTCGGTTGCACGTCAACACTAGCATCCCAAGCTTCACGTTGAAACCCCAAGCATGATCGGCTCGACTCCACCCCCATCTAGACTTTGATTTTTGGTTGTTACACAGACACGGGCTCTTTCTAGGAGGTGTTGCTGGGGGTTGGGGGTTTTGTGGGGCCGCGGGGTCTTGGAAGCTTCAGGGAAAGCCAATTCGGATGAAAAGGTCATGAACTTCCGACGTGGAGCCAATGCCTGGCATTTTACTGCTTCGTGGCAGCAGAAGGCAAGTTCTTGGGCGTGTCAGCAAGTTCGAAGCGTTCTTGCAGGTTGGAGGGAGGATGGACACAGGGAGCAATTTCAGACCCTAATACTACTCTCATCAAAGGCTCGTGCTCTTTCTTTCCTCGACTTGGCTATGAAGCCCTCAAGCCTTTGCTGGTGCTGAGGCCGGCACACGGAACCGGCCTGGGCCCGAGGAGCAAACGATGGAAAAGCAGGGTTTAGGGTTGTGGTTAGGTGATGGGTGCTAAGTACTAAGCAAACCCAGGCCGCTCGCACCGTGCGTAACCAGCAGCTCAATCAATCTTGGGGTTTTTGTTCTACAGTCTTCCGGGCATTTCAGCAGGAGATTGGGCATCAGCGGCAGACGCCGTTGTTTGGAACGGGGGCCCAGGCATAAATATCTGCAAAATAGCGAGGAATTCGTCGTAAAGCATCCTGAACAGGATGTGGGTTTTCTGCTCAATCTGTGCGCCCAGGATCGCCAGGCTGCTTAAAGCCATCCCTTGTTTGTCGTGCTCGGAGCCTGGTGCAAGATAATACTTTCGATCATGGTTATGCTCTAGAAATCCCTTTCGGCGCAGCAATGCCGAAGCAGTGGTATGACTCAAGATCCTCATCGCTCTGGAGGAACTCGTACTGTTCTTGAGCTTACATACTAGCAATGGACGGACACTCAACCTAAACTCTAGAGACGACCCTAAATGCTGCTCCGTAAGCTCGCATTAACAATACGTTCACCGCTTCCAGCTTTCCTGACATCTCATGCGCAGGTCAGGGGCGCAAAAGTCTGTCCCAGACAACGTCTTCAGCAAGAGGGTGGCTCAAGCTGGTGATATGTAGTGCTTCAGGTTTCGAGTTCAGGGGTTGGGATTGCAAGGCCAGGGTTTGCAGCTTGGGTTCGGGCTCGCGTTGGAGAATGTTGCGAAGCGTTCAGTGCCTCTGCCCAATGCCTGTTTGGGCACGAGTACATCGAGATGTAGACATATATTAATATATGTTTGTCTACCTATTAGCTGTATCTCCAGATGCAGACCAATTTGACTGCCCACTCCAAGACACATATGCAATCATGCAAGAAGCGGTATTAGGCCGACAAAGTGTCACTTCCCTCCATTCGTTCCTCCAACCAGCTGCCGTGAACGATTGGAGCTAAACCTGAACCCCGGAATCATGAAGCGTATGCCTTTACTTCAGTTTACTGTAGTACAGCCCCTTCTCCTCCTGCAGGCGGGGCAGCGGCACATGCCTGGCCGCCAAGAGTGCAGCGCATACTCGGACCATGATGGCTTCTTCTTATGGGAGTTGATAGATGCTACTTTATTGGGATTCTACTGGGCTGGATCCCTGCTCCGCAGCCCAGTAGAGGGTGTTTCGGGAACTGTCGCCATAACGACGAGCACGCTGATTCTCGTGTACTTCCCCTGACTTCTCATAGCGCAAGCCAACTGGAATTTTACGAGCCTGGATTCCTCAACATAGCCCAAACGCTCAGGCCGAATCCCTCAAGCCTAAACAGGGCCTAAACCCTTACACAAGTGCCTTTAGCTGAGAGAAGCTTGCACAAATTAATCCCGTTGAGTGCGAACCTTTGCTCCGAGGTTCTGGGCTGCATGCTTGGAAGGCCAAGAAGATGGGAAGCACTACGTTCTCGCCCGGGGCCCGAATGAGTCTTTGGTGGTAATTTAGAGATACTTAGTGGGGTTGCTTTCTCGGCGAAGGGGTGCGTCGCTACACACGGCTTCTGTTGCCACAGGTTTCGCCAGTGATCCAGCACGAAGATTTCTCAACCACCACGCATCATAAACCTTGATCCTTCAATCTCGCCTCAAAACACCAATGCCAAGTTTCGATGGCTGATCCAATTCTTAACGCAGTTGGCCTGTATAGATTTTGACAGATCCACCAACCGCACAAACCCCAGCAGAGTTTGCCACTAATGCCTACTGGTCTGAAGGAAGGCCCCGCTGGGAGCTCAGGGTTGGGGCTACCTGCCGTGACCGGATCGAGCTAGAGAATTTTTCACATCTCATGTAGGGTTTAGGGTTTAGGGGACTCGTCGGTTTCCAAGCTGCTTCGTTCGCAATCTGCTATAGTCAGTTGTGACAAATCATTAAGATCGTAGTGATGTTGAGGCTTCAGCAGGCAGTCGCTTCGACTGCCTTTCTCGCTCGGCAGGCAACAGCTCTGTTTCGATCCTGTGGACGAGCCCTGCGCGAATCATTTCTCAGGTCGGGGCTGTCCCAGGCATGCTGACGGAGCATTTCTTCGTCGCGAAGGCTAGGAATCATACGACTTTTTGTGCCTTGGTGATGGCCGGGGACATCGAAATGCAGCCACCCCAACCACCTCGCAGGACGAGGGCAGCCCTCAGCAGCAAGCAAGAAGTTGAACCTGCGCCAATGCCCTCAACCTCATCAGTGGCCTGGTGGGCCTGGTGAAGGTTCATAAGATGGCGAGATACACTCGAATGTTCCGTGCGAGCAAGCAAACGCAGCTTATGATATCGTTCGTTCTCGTCGTTATCGCCAGGCAGTCTGGAAGTATGTTCAATTGCTGAATGTCCTCGTTACTAACTGGGTTAACAGCCAAAAGCTTGATCGAGCTGGGACCCGGATCATTAATCTAGAACAAAACAAGTTACGCACACACACACACACACACACACACATATCCCAAAATGCCACTACCCAATTGGCCCAGTTAGAACGCCCGGTCCTTCAGTGCAGCTGAGATTCTTCATCGTCCGTCGGACAAAGTAAGGTCGACCTAGTCGCATCTGAGTACGTCTAGCTTCCAGATATGCCACTCCAGCGACTGCGATTCGGATGTTCGACACTCAAACCTGCATAGAGTGCGGTTTCAGAGCCAGTAGCTGCGCAGTAGCTTTCAAATCGGTGCTTGCACTGCCACAGGTGACACGCCCTCGGCCTTTGACCAATGTTGGCCACTTGACAGCTCAGCGAGTGGTGACGGAGAACTGCAACAGCTGCCTAAACCCTAAACCCCAAGACTGCCGCGACTTGTCAGGGTCCAAGGGAGGCCGAATCCTGAAAGTCGTTGTGGTCGCCGAGCGACGAATCTAGGCCAAGCGGACCTAAAGTGCTTCAGACTAGGCAGCGATCATTCGCGTGCTCTTCAGCGCAGGGACAAAACCATTCTATGCGACAAGGCCCTCCAAAATCCTGAGATCAGCCTCAGACCCTTCTAACAGCCGCAACCGAAACGAGGGTTTGGCTTTCTGCCAGCTCCCGGCGAGGGAACCTTTGCTCGCCCAGGCAGCGGGGTCGGGAATAAGCGGGCTGACATCCTAAACTGTTGACTGCAGCCAGACCCGACGCCTTTCGTATTTTTTGGTGATTCCGTAGAGACTTTTGGGGGGAAGGCGTGGTGGTGGTGAGTTTGCAGTGTGGGACTGTCGAGCATGTCTGTGCGCAAGGTTTCCAAAAATGATTCGCGTTGTGGTTGAGACATTTAGTGCAGACAAGCCCTGTGCAGCAAGGGCTTCTGCTAAATCAGCGAGGTCGGCATGTAGATTAAACGGAGGATTCCCATTCAGACCATCCTTGCAACTATAAATACCCGGAATCACGGGCATGTTGCGTTTAGGCTACTTGTCTACGCTTGAAAACATGCTCTGCCACAGGGATCGGCGAAGAGACCTTCGTTCAGCAGCCTCCCCGACTACGGTAGTCTTAGTTCATGAGTTCTGGGCTGCTTGGCTTCGGCTCTCTCTATAACTTCGAAACAAAACCGAGAGAGGAAGCAGAACCCTATCAAGTTCGGAAGATGAGGTGGACCGCCCTCAATTTGCACGCGTCCGCTCCCGCCCATAATGCTACTGGATAGGGTTGTGGTGGGCATAAGCACCAGTTGAAAAGCCTTTCGCAGTTTGGGTTGGGGCCTGTCGCCTGAAGTAGGATCACAAGCACTTACAAGGCCTTGCGATGGTCTCTCAAAACGCCTCGAAGCCCAAATCGCTGAGCCCCTCTAAAATCACAAGCGTCACTCCGCGCCTCGTCCCTAAATCCGAAGCAGCCCGCCAAGCCGAGGCCAAGCTCTGAGAAACACGAAAGAAGACTCTGAAACCTAGTAGTAGAGTAGGGAATATTTACCTTTTTTGATAGTATAGTCCCTATATAATTCCTATATATAACCAAGAAAGTTAACTTTTAGTTCCCCATGATACCCGACAAGTTGGGAAACCTGGGGCCACAGCAGCAGGGGCTTGCGCAGGCTCGGCGCCGCTGTGGATAGAGAGCATCACCATCTACCCGCTCGGGCCCCAACTAGGGTGGTTGGCGTTTTCAATGAGGAGAGCTATACCAGCCAGCCCAGATGCTTCGGTGGGCTTCGAGATGGTTTCTTGTTTGGCGTAGCCTATTGTTGCATGGTGGACAAGCTTTCCTTTCGAAACAGCACGTCGTTGTTGCAAATTTCTAGGGGCAATCCACGGTATTATTGCGTTGCAAGCGCGGTGGTGTAAGTTGGCGTTGCAAGGCCGACTTTAGTCTATCCGACATGACTGCAGCAAAACAGTGGGCAGTTTGGCCAGTAGAGTGAGTCAGCTGTACAGCATGTGGATGTCTCTCTAGCTTGCTGTGTCTATCCACCTACCTACTGCCAGTCTATCACTTGCAGCGGAGTCGCTTCCCAATCTAATCTAACATACCGGATTGTACGTATGTCCATTTATCTGCCCCCGATATGTCTGTCCGTCTGTCGGTTTGTCGGTGTCTCTGTCCGCCTGCCCGTCTGTCTGTATGTATGTACGTACCTCAGTCTTTCTCTGTGCATCTATGACTCCGAGTAATCATGGCAAGAACATCGTAGAACACCTGCGCTAAACCTCGCGACAAGAATCCAGAGCCGAGGCACAGCCTCACGGGCGAGCTGCCCTTCATATCCCATAGGAACCTGGAGGTGCTCGCAGTTGGGACTTTTAGGGGTTTAGCCTTGGAGGTTCAGGGATTTGGAATCTCTCTTTTCGGAGCGTTGAGGAGGGCGTCCGGAGTCTTTCTTGGCTGGTGTCGAAGTTTGAAACTTATTGCTTAAGTGTGCTTGGCTTTTGGGTTGTTGCAAAGATGCTTGGGGGATGTTTGGCCTAAGGGGTTGTTGGATTTTGATGTTTTTTGCATATAAGGTTTGGGTTGCTGTTGGGTATCGAGACTTTGGGATACAACGGGCGTTTACGTTCGTGAGGTCTGATTAATTGAGTGTGTCGCGCAGTGAGTGCTAATGCTGGGCTCTGAGCTTCACGAATATACACGTACCACCCTCAACTCGTATTTGGTCATAAACTCGTCTTCCGTTCCAGGGTTCGGCTTTGGGGCTGACGGAGAACCAACCCATGCCAAACTGGGATGTCCGAAAGCCTTGAGTCTTCCTCCGCAGCCTTCAATAAAGATCGAAGCTCGTCCAAGGTTCTTGCCGATGACGCCTGGCCGTCCCGAGACGGTCAGGCAGGTGTTGAAAGCACTTTCGAAAGGAGGAATGGGACAGAGTAGACGATATTGCTTTGCATGCCTCTCCGTTCACGTATGCATGCATGTAAATGCAGGTATGTATGTGCACATTGGTACATATATAAGTATATATACAGATGTTAATATGTACATACATACATGCATACTCGTGTTATCCGTACAATATTATCAAGTATCCCAGAACGTATCGAACCCCAAGTATGCTCTCTTGCTTGGACTTGCGGCGAGTACTGTGCGGGACCGCTTTGATGATACTATCAGGAATCGAGTACACTTCCCGGAAGAAAGGTTGCTGTTTTGGGTTTTGGGTGCTTAAAACCCAAGGGGATGTTGGAATGGACCGGAACCCTGCTGGCTGTAACCTGTGGGCTAGTGCTGAAAGATAGCCTGCTGTGCTTGTTGGTCCCACATGTTTCAATCTCTTGGTGATCCCCCCAAAGCAAAGGTCCCCTAGCCGGACGGCTTTAGGTTTAGTGTTCAGCATGCGCAGGAAACACTGTTAACGACACGCGAGGGAAGACAAACGTTTCTCTCAAACGCAGCTTGAAACATTTGCAAAGTGAATTAGGGGACTGTGTCGGGGCTTGATATGGTTTGACAAAGGGTTTCGCGGGGTCTTCCAGATAGCCGCGTACCCTTTATTTTTTCATTACGGAGTAGTTGTTCAACCATGATGAGAAGGAGCCCTCATGCTTCAAGCTTGATTTCTCAAATACGGTAGGGGTACACTGGCTCCCCGGGTTGAGACTGCGGGTTTGTTTGATAGTGCTTCCCTTCATTTTTCCTTTCTTGCGCGGAGGCTCCCGTCGCCAAAGTCGAGCTTGAGGCTTGTTCGGGTTCTGGAGCTGCAGCTTTCGGAAATTACTACAATTTGTTGGGCTTGGGGCTTAGGATCTAGGGTAGTGTTTCCATGTTGGAGTTTAGGTTGTTCTACCGTCGCCTCTAGCGTGGCATCCAAACATAGCCAGGCACTGAAGGGTTTGCTAGGATCAGCCTAAACTTCGAAGCCAAGACCTTTGAAGCTCAAGCCTGTAACATAAATTGACCCGAATCCCGACATGTAAGCTTGAGATCGTAAAACCACGGCTGTAAATCCTGAAGCCTAAGAGCCTAAGTCCTAAGCCAACTCCTGCGGCTTACGTGCTGTTTATGACACTTCCCGTGTGAATGTTGAGGCGCGCCCGGTCTGTGTGGGTATGGATATGGACCTGAGCATGAGTATTCCATTGGGGTTAGGTGAAGATGACCACCCACCGTAGTGGGCATGACTCAGCAAGAAGGACGGAATCCTGCAAGGCCCCATTACCATAGAACAGTGAGACCCTGCCTGTGAGAATGTCTTTGGGAGGAGAAGCTTAGCTTCAAGCTTGCACATGTCTCTTATACCCTAAACCCTGAAGCCCTAAACCTGATTTTCCTGGCCACTTCGGCTCAAGCGCCAGCAAAGATTCTGGCGAAGCGCGTGCTAGGAGTGGACAGGGGAGTCCTCCACCCTTCAAGGTGGGGTTTGGGGTCTACTTTAGGTACTATAGGGGACTGCAGATAATTACCAATACTATTTTCAGGGCTCCTTATAGTTATAGAAGACTGGGCCCAAAGCCCTACTCTAAGTATTCAGGCCCCTGTATTAGGGCTTTTGGGGTTTAGCAAGGGCTTCAGGCTTCCAGGGCTCATGGGGTTTAGGGTGTCTGGGGTTTACGGAGGCTTGTAGCAAGCTCCGGCAACTTATTCGGGGTTTCCAGAGCAGCGTTCCCACGATCCAGGTTACCGTCTTATAGGGTCCTTAGGTTTCGAAAAGTGGGGATGCCCTTAGGGCCTGCCTATATTGAGGATACTCTCTGGTATCTCTTTTAGGGGTTCTCCTTTTCTGAAGGGGCATTGGAAGATTGGACCTACGCGCCTCAGCCGGGAATCCGGCAAAACACAATCAGGGGCACCCTGAAACCCGCAATTTTGGGGCCTGAGTAAAATGACAGCTATTCTTATGGCTTTTTGTATACACCAAAAAACTAGTCTAGTCATTAAGGACCCCGAACTCACAGCTTAAACTAGAACGCCCAAGGCCTCTTTGTTGTTTGACCTCCCCGAAAGTCCTAGACCTTGGTCTTTATGGTTTAAAGGGGTTTCCGTTGAACCCTAAACCTAAACCCTAAGGTTGAATGGTGCACCTTTCTCCCTAAACCTAAACCCTAAAACCCCTAAAGCCCTAAAGCCCTAAAACCCTAAAACCCTAAACCCTAAAAACCCATGGACATGGAAGTCGCATTCTGAGCCAATGTCCAGGAGCCTCGAACCGGCCAAGGGCGAGTGCTGTCGGAGATAAGTCGTCGTCGTCCTAGTAGTCGTCACAGTCGTAGTAGCCGTAGTAGCAGTAGTAGCAGTAGTAGCCGCAGTGGCAGCAGTAGCAGTAGCAGTAGCAGTAGAAGTAGCAGTAGAAGTAGCAGTAGCAGTAGCAGTGGCAGTGGCAGTAGCAGTAGCAGTAGCAGTGGCAGTAGGCAGTAGCAGTAGCAGTAGCAGTAGCAGTAGCAGTAGCAGTAGCAGTAGCAGTAGCAGTAGTAGTCGTAGTAGTAGTAGCAGTCGGAGTAGTTGTAGTCGTAGTA